TAAAGAGCAATCAGGGTTGATCTCCTCTAGGACTGACCAGTTTGATCGCCTTGCAGTCCAAGGGACTCACAGTTTTCTCCAGCACCATATTTCAAAGACCTCAATTCTTTGGTGCTCAGTCTTTGTTATGATCCAGCTTTCACAGCCATACATTGCAACTGGGAAAATCAATACTATGCATACTTTTGTTGGCAGGGTGATGTCTCTGCTTTTTAGTATGCTGTCTAAACTCACCATAGCTGTCCCTTACTCCTTTGCATCTCTTGCCTCACCCTGCCTAACCATGTGGAAGATCTGGCTTCTTTGATCATGATTTGTAGACAGCCCCAAGACAGAAAGCCCTCCTTTGCTGTCCCTAAGCCTGCTTTTAACTCAATTTTGGAAAAGGAAACCACTCTCAAATGTTATTCTCGGGGCCATGCCTTCCTCTTCTTGGTAGAGCCATTGCTCTTTGCTCCCAGGGCAGAGATGGCTGAAATGAAAGAAAGCATCGCTCTGGAAGGGCCATGTTGTAAAGAAAGCAAAGCCAACCTTGTAATGAAGGAGGCTCCAACACTGGACAGAGAAATATTGGGAGTCAAGTTACAATACTGAGAGAAAGTGAGGCAAAATTTTCTAACAAGAAACTTCAGACTTGAGGAAGTCTTTGGCCAAAATGCTCTTTTGTTTTGGCTGCTTCCACTTTCACCCTGGCTCCGGTTCCCACATTATTATTATTGTTATTATTATTCTTATTTTGCTGTTGTTTCGAAAATAATTGGGATAGGCGACCATCATTTGTCCGTGGGCTACGGACTTGCCAAACTACTGGCTTCAGCCCCACTAGTCCGGCCTTAGCTGAACGTTGGCTTCCAACCATCTTTGGAGAGTTGGTGCGGCGGCTCAAACAGGACCCTCGGCACACCCGCGGTCCCCCTCAACTCGCTCATTTTTTTTATTTATTTTCGCCCACAGTCACAAGGAGGACGCCCTCCCCATTCACAGCGTGTGCCCCGATTTCCTCCCGTCCCAATTTTGCCATCTGAAGCTTCTTCTTGTCCTCGGGGAGGGAAAGGGACGGCCTATTAACCCCCTCCCCACCTCATGTGGTGCCGCGGCTGCGGCGGGGGTCTGCAGAGCCTCTCGGGAGATTTTGGGGCTACGGGGAGCGAGGAGGGGTGGGAAGAGAGGAAGAAGCTGCCGCCGCCGCCGCCGCCGCTCTCCCGCTGCTGCCCCTCGTTGGCTCTGGGCTCGGTCTTGGCGAACCTCGGCGGGTGTGCAACCAGAAGAGCCCTCCTCTCGGAGAGGCAAGGCAGGGCCCCTCCTCTCGAAACGCTGACGGGACCCGATATAATCATGATGGGTGGTGAAGTCCGCATTTGAACTTGCAGGCAAAGCGCGCTGGGTGCTTCGTTCTGCCGGGAGCTGCAGCGCTTCTCGCGCCCGGGTGGGATCAGGTGCTCGCCGCCTCAGGAGAGAGGGCGCCAGGAGAAGCCCCCGAAGGACCCGTTTCCCAAGTGGCTACTAGACAGGGGACTTCGCGCCCGAGGGAGCCTCTGGATTACCAGCCATCGCTGATTGGGGCTCCTCTTTTTTCTCTCTATCACTCTGTCTCCCTCCCCTTTCCTCCCACCCCCTTTTCTTCTTTTTGGTAGCCTCTGCAATAAACTGCTCTGAAAGGTAACTATACCATCCTCCTTTCTATTTTTTGCTGGTCAAGTGAGGGGGGGAGAGAGGGAACATCTGGGAGGGGGGTTACCTGTAAGACAAAAGAGTTTGGTGAAAGCTAAGGGGTTGGGGAGAAGAAGAAGGGGGAAAAAACACTGATGGGGATGATTTTGAAGGCGCCGGCTCTTTCATGCTTTCTTTTCATTCATACCTTTGGAGAAGGCCAACGCTTTTCGCGGAGAGGAGGAGTGTAATGCACAATATTGATGGGGGGAGTAGAGAACAAAGAAAAGTGGAAAGAATGGGGGAAGAGAGAGAGTGTGTGTGGCCAGACAAGAGTTCTTGAATGGGAGGCAAGGTAGGGGAGTCCGGCGGCTCGGAAATGGTTAATGGCTGGGAGGAAACGTCTTTTAAGGTCTGGAAGACACAAAGCGGCTCTGGAGGGAAGGAGGTGCTGGGAAGCGGCGGACTTGGCGAGCAGGTTGGGCTGCGGGGGCTGAGCCGGGCGGTAAAAGCCGTGGAGTTGGTTTGGGGGATTCCTGGGGAACACTTGGGTCTCTTTTTCCAGGCTTGGCCGCGGAGATTTCCTGGCAGAAAAACCTGGGACGGAGAGTTGGGGTGGGGGGGGGTGGGAGTCGGGTCTCCTCTGACCATAGTGGCCAGGAGACCGGAGGTGGTGGGGCAGATCACAAAGGTCAGTGAGAAGAAAAGGCGTCGCGGATGCTCAACTTTCCCCATCCCTCCCTTGCTTCCTTCGCCTCCCGGCTCAGCCCTGCCGGTCTTACGGGGAGCGCTTCCATCGATTACTTTCGGGCTTTGTTTTAAGAGTGGGGTGTTGTTGTTTTTTAAAAAAAACTTGCCGGGAAAGCAACCTATGGAGTAAGGAAAACCAAGAGGGGAAAAAGCGTTTGGAAAGTAAATAGCTGTTGTGACAAACTTTAGCAGCAATGTGAGGTCCCTGTAAGGCTTTGCTGTGACGCTTGGGTAACCCATCCCCCCACCCCACGCCAATTTTATGTGGTTTCAGGCTCCAAGGCAGAAGTTCAAAATCGGTTGTTCTTTGTAGAAGTTGCGAGAATCTATCTATCTATCTATCTATCTATCTATCTATCTATCTATCTATCTATCTATCTATCTATCTATCTATCTATCTATCTATCTATCTATCT